TATAATATAGTTTAGTTTTTTAATATCAAACTATATTTTATATTTATAATAAATAGTTTAATAAAAAGTATTATAAAATTATAATATTTACTAATTAGTAATATTATTATTTTTAAAATTATAATATTATACTTTTAATAAACCTTTATAATTATAATTACCTTATCTTTTTATTATATAAGTAATCCTTTTATAAAGTTATACTAAATATTTTTTTATTTAAGAACTCCTAGGCTTATTATATTAATAGCACTTTAAAAAATATAAGTAATATTTTTAAATTTAATTATTTTATTATTTAATAGTAAAATAATAATAATACTTATTTTTTTAATTTTTAATATACTTTTATTAAATATAGCTATTATATTAACTTTATTTAGTATTTAAATAAAAATAAACTACTTTAAGTTATTAAAATAATATAAGTTATAGCTTAAGTTAATAATAATATTATTTTAATTAATACTATATTTAGTTAAAGTAAAGTTATAATTTAAAATATTATTTTATATAATTTTAATAATATTATTTTTATTATTTTTAAAAAAATTAAGCTTAATAAAAATATTTAAAGTAATTATTATATTAATAAATAATTATCCTGCTTTTATAATATTTAAGGTGCTTTTAAATAGTTTTTTATTTATTATAAGCTTAAATTTATCTTTTTTATTATTTTTAAATTTTTATTTTTATAAATAAAATTTCTAATATAAGTTTAAATAAAATTAAGAATAATAATCCTTTAATTAAAGCTTAAAATAAAGTCTTTAATAAGTATTAGGTATATAAGGCTTTTTATTTATTAAAATAATATAGCTATATTTTAACTTTTTAATTTTATTATTATTAAATTTACCTTATCCTTATTATTTATTATTATTTAATAAAAAAAAGGTAGGCTACTTAAAAGTATTAAATATTTTCTTAATTTTTACTTTTTTATTTACTTATAAATAAAAAAACTTAATAAGTTTATCTTTTTTAACTTTTTTATTTTAATAAAAATCTGCAGTTTAATACTTATACTAAGTCTTATTAATATATTTAAGGCTTATAAAAGCTATAATTATAAACTAAGCCTTTAATACTTTAAGATATTAATATATAATATAAGTTTAAGCTTTTATTAGTATATTAATATATACTTTTAAAAACTTAAATTAACTATATTTTAAATAATTAAACTCTTAAATAATAATAAAAACTTTTTTTATTAAGGCTTTTAAAATAATAATTTTTATTATATTAAAAAGTTTTTTTATTATTAAGTTATTATTATTAAAGCTCTTATAGTTAAGCTTTATATAAATCTTTATTAATAAGTTATTTAAGATAAATTCTATTATTAATATATTATTTTCTTTTTAAGTATTTTTTTTAGCTTAAGTAGCTTTTTTAGCTATAATATTTATTCCTTTAATAATATTTTAAAAACTTATTAAATATATATTAATTTTAAATATTTATTTTTAAGTATTTTAATTATTAAAGCCTTTTAGTAATATTATTAAAAAAAAGAAGTTAGCTTATAAAGCCTTAAAAGTATTATTTTTTATAAATATTAGCTATATTATTTTAAGCTATATTATTTATAAATTTAAGTTAAAGTTATTATAATTAAAGTTTTTATTTTTAATAATAAATTTAAAATTATTTTAGCTTAAAAAGTTAAGTAATAATTATTTTATTAATATATAAGTAAAATAAAGTCTTTAAGTTTTTATAAATAAAAAAGAAAAAGGTTAATCTTTTAAGTTAAAAAAAAGGGTAATTTATATTAAATTAAAGGTATAATTTATATTAAGTTAAAGGTATAATAATAACTTTATTTATTACTAACTTAAAAGTTTAAGTATAATTTTTTATAATTTTTAAAAAAGTATAAGGCTTATAACTTAATAAAGGTATAATAATAAGCTCTTTTCTTTTATAAAAGACTAGCTAAAGAGAAAGAGAAAGAAAGGAAAATAAATAAATAGCTATAAATGCATTATAGGCCTAAGGCCTATAGTATTATAAGGTGGTCCTAAGTTATTAAGGTGGGGACCACTTAACACTATTAAGCAGTGTGCTGTTAGCACCACTGCCACTGCCATTTAGCTTATCACTAATTACACTATTCTTCGTTAAGAATTCATTTTATCGTGTTGAAGATGGGGAGATGAATAAAACCTGTCGCTGGTCCATAAGGTCAAGTCTTTAGTCTTTCACTTGTCCATTCGAGATGCAAAAGTGCTGCATCCAAGGGTCCGGCTAATGTCAACGGCGCATCTCCCCCCATAATAACAACTGGAAGACTACCTGTACATGTAGGAACAGGCACGTGCGACCAGCACCTCCGACAAGTGGCTCGTAGAGCGATTTGAGACGCCTCTGCTGTACCAAACAATGTCACAACAATCACGATTGCCTGAGAGCAGAGTCACAAAATGATGTTGTCATAGCAGTGTCAAGTGCTCAAAGACTTATTCAATTCTTCGTGGCGGACACTATACGAATGGACATTCAATATCGGCTGTCTTGCATCGAGAATAGTCACATGCACAACCCTGGAGAGGAGCATCGCCGTCATCGTCAACAGCTTCATTTAGCCGCGGGCTCTGTTCCTACATGTACCTACTGTTGCTACTGCCCCTGCGTCAATGAGGGATGAAGGGATGAAGCTGCTCAGTTACACCCACGTGCTCGCGTTACAGCAGGCCATCAGCGTCATATCCTCTGGCGTCCCCCAAGAACAAATGCTGCAAGGAGGTACAACACCGCCCTCGTTACAATCTCCATACCACAATCTCCGTCATCATGCTGACTTACGCCGTTGTAGCGGGCGTTCTGTCCCAATTCCTCCTGGCCTCCGCATCGGGCCTGTCGCCAGTCGACACCTTCTATCCCGCTGGCCTCAACGACACCTCGTACATCAGCAACAGCGCGCTTGGCACGTACGGAGGCACTTACAGGGCGCCGGCCAACGAGGCTTCGCAGGGCTCTCCATATGGCATCTACGACTACTGCTCGATGCCGCATCCGCGCGTGAGCGAGTATGAGATGCCCAAGGACCGTAACGCCAAGCTGGTCTATCTCGAGTATATGCAGAGACACCAGAGGCGTACCATGTACAATCTGGCCCCTGGTGGAGAGGTGAGACTGTTTCGTGCCTTCATCAAGGACTGAAACCCTGCTAATGAAGTGTAGAACCAACCATTTGATTGCTCAAGCTTTGAAGCATTCTCATACGGCAGTCAAGCACACGGCACCAGTGGTCTCCAGGTCTACGCCAGCGTCTACACAGACCCGAACAACCCGTTTGTCGATGCTCTGCCATACGTCAACTCGACATGCTTCTTCCCTCAGTTGACCACTGGCGGCCTCCTCGACGGCGTCCAACACGGCAAGGATCTCTGGGCTCTGTACGGCGAGAAGCTGGGCCTCATCCCGAAAGCACCCAGCGACAAGGTCTGGCTGCGATCCAGCTCGGCAACCCTCACCCAGCAGAGCGCTGGAGGAGTTCTGCGCGGTCTCTGGCCTCATCACTCGGGCTCTGTGCCTCTTCACCAGCAGCCCGGGCCTGACACGGTCAACGGCGGGATCCCCTGCAATGCGAAAGGCGCTACGCTGTCATGTATCCAGTCCACGCCTGAATGGAACCAGCATCTCAGCGTCACGACTGAGCTTCGACAGTCGCTGGGGGAGATTCTCGGTGCCACGAGCAGTGCGTGGCAGGATACCTTTGACCACTTTTCCGACAATTTCCAGGCACGGCTGTGCAATGGCTACAAGCTTCCTTGCAGCTTCACTGATCCCTCCAAATGCGTTTCCGAGAGCCAAGCGGAGGAAGTCTTCCGCGCAGGAGACTGGGAGTGGAACTATTACTGGCGCAACAACCCGCAGGCTGTCAAGTACATCCAGGCCACTGAAGGACTCTTCATCGGTGAGGTTGTTCGGCGCCTGGAAGCCGTCCTGAACAACAAACAAAAGTACGTTTATTCGCACACCTTCTTCCACGACGGCGATATTGGTCCCATCTTGGGCGCCCTGGGAATCGACCAGCTGCGATGGCCTGCCATGGGGTCCAATGTTGCCATTGAGGTCTGGGAGACGACAGCCAAGCAGAAGAAGGAATACTATGCCCGCGTGCTATACTCGGGGCACATGCTGCGCAGCATTCACGGCACCTTGGACTGGATTCCGCTGAGCCAGTTGATGGACATTCTGAAGGTGTATGTGCCACAAGACATTATCGCTTTGTGCAACTCGTAGATATTCTATTACGCTGTTTAGCTACTCTTCGCTTGATACCTCACACTTACAGTACCGTTTCCATTTTTGCCCTCTCTGCCGTCAGTCGACAAAGATTCCCAACGGAATACTCGCAGATACCGTATATACTCCCAACCCAATCTCATGCATCATCTTCAGATTCCCAACAAGGCTGAACAGCATATACCCCTCCACCCTCGTCAGCCCCTTCTCTTCCTCCAGCCACCTCAACATCTCCTTCACAGCCTGCTTCACAACTGTATCACGATCATGCCCCGTAATCATTGCCCCGTGCTCTCCTTTACCCTTGACACTCACCATCTCCTTCACCCGCTCCGGACTCGTCTCATAATGTGGCCCCCCAAGCCTGTCCTTGCCTTTGATGACGCTCAGTCGCATCCGCGAGCGCATTGTCGTTTCCAACGCAAGACAACAGATTTCGCCGTCCCCTTGGCAGAAATGTGCATCCCCTACGCCGAATAGCGCCCCGGGGACGTTTACAGGGAGGAACAACGTTGACCCCTCGCCTAGGTATCGACAGTCAAAGTTTCCGCCTATATCGTTGCGCGGAAATAAGCAGTACTGGTCGCCTTCTGCTGGAGCGACGCCCATGGTTCCGTAGAAGGGCTGACGCGGGAGATGTATGCCTGGCTTGAACACGGCGTAGTCTTTGCCCTCGGGAAGATCAAACGTCATGAGATGAGGGCCCGGGATTTCATCTTGCAAAAGCCCCATTCCAGGGATGATGGCCGTCCAGCCCCATGAGCCGGGTTGCAATTCGAGGATCTCGACTTTGAGAATGTCGCCTGGTTCGGCGCCATTGACGTAAACTGGGCCGTTGACGTAGAGGAGTCCTACCAGCTTTTCGAGTTCTGGGGCAGATTTGATGTCTAGTGCGACGACGTCTGCCGTTGTTGTTTCTTTGGTGAGGTTGACGAAGCCGGCGTGGGTGTTGTCAAAGGTGACTTCGGTGCCGGAGTCGACTGTGAGGGTGGGCTTGTGGTCTTTGTTGAAGGTGTATGTGGTGCTGTCTGGTCCGTGATGGACGTGATGAAGCGCTTTGGCGAGAGGTTTCCAACTCATGATGATGTATCAGTCTAATCGTCTGTTTTGATGCTGCTGCTGTGTAGTGTCTTGACTCTCAGTTAACAACAGATACCACAGCCCGAGCTGTTCTTTTAAATAGGGTACTGTTGGATAAGCTTACGTTTTCCGGAGTCTCTTACACCGAGACGACTTCAACAATGTTTCCCATATTTCTGAACAACCATTCAGATCGCCGGATTATCTAGCGCTGACAACTGTCAAGGCCCAATCGTTGACTGGACGAACGATCATGTGGAAATACATAAGCACACGATCTTCGTGGCGTTAGAGGGATTGTCCAATTACAGCACCAAAGGCCTTCTGCCAGAATGAAGACCTCGTATTCGCGCTTCACACCTTATAGTTCCTTTCTTACAACTGCAACTATTCCTCCGGTACCGAAATTTCGTATATTAACGACCGAATGTTGTCCTCTCCGCATTTGCGCTAGGATCGTGGGAAAACCCAGTGGGAAAACCACGACCAAGAGGGCAAGCTATCTACCTAGCACAACCAAAGATGACCTATCATCAAACAAAAAGCTCAAGAAATAGCAAGCATAACGATAAACCTTAGTGACAGCAATAGGACGCAAGAAACGCAAAACAACTACAAGAACTGAGGTCATACCAATCTCTGCAGGTCTCTCAAGCTCTTCTTCAACCCTTGCACCTGTGCAGCCAACTTCTCGCGTCGGTCAATTTGCTTCTCTGACTCTGAACCGATTCGTTTCAATTCTTCTTCGGAAAATAGAGACACAGATGTTGGGCAGAAGGCATTGGGTAGGCAAGATAAGATGTGGCGCTCGATGGCTTGGCGGGCGACATTGTCGACGAATGTCTTCATTGCGACCTGAGTATTGTCATGTCAGCATATTCAAAAAGTAGACTGAGTTGAACGTCCCCACCTTGTAATAGGCGTCTAGCTGTGTGATGGCTTCGTTGCAAGCCTGCTCATCCATATCGACAACGACCTTGGTTCCGACTTTCTCGAGGAATCTTTCCACTTCCAAGGAATTTTCAAGGCGAATCCTCCCATGTAAATCTTTTTGAGCAATGACAGCATCGGCCACCGCCTTTCTTTGCTCACTCATCCGAGCCTTTTGGACGTTGTCCGTATAGTAGTGATTATACGTCAACGGAGTCCGTCCTTCGTCTTCAATGAGCCTTGCCAATTCTTCAAAAGCATTCTTCTCTGCACTCTCTAACCACTGCTGTAAGATGGCCAAGATTTGAGTCTTCAAACACTCATCGGGATGAAGTCTTTCCACGGCTAACTGTATCCAGTTTGAAACCGTATCGAGGATGTCGTGGACATGGGATGCGGCAATACTAGGCCATCGAGACGATTGCTCATGAAAGAGCTCTGCCAAGAGCGCTGAATTGTAGTTTCCAGGCAACTCCTTCCCCCTTGTACGTGTATATGCCTGCATGAAGTTTCAGTACAAGTGTATGTCAGATGAGCATGGAAGACAGACCTTCTCAACCCATTGATCCATCTCCGCCTTGCTCACTTGGAGCTGAGCTGTCGTATCAGTCACTTCCTTGTCCGTTGAGTCGCCAGACTCGGTATTCGTATCTACCACTTGTCTTCTTTTCCCCGAGTCCCGCATATAAGCCGCAAACCTTGTGTTCGATTCATGTACACATGCCCGCAGTCGTGTCTTATCGCTCGCGGAAAAGAAGCTAGCATCGATGCTGTGATAGTTACCGTCAAGAGCCGCCTGCAACAGTTGATAGAACTTCATGCTCAAGCTAGTAAGAAAAGTCCTGATGAGATCAGTAGAAGAGCGAGCAAACCCTAAAGATTGTAGCTCATCATCTTTCTCAGCCAGTAGCTTCCTGATCTCGTCTCTTACTTTGGGAAGTTCTCGCTCTATATGGTTATCAAGCAAGCCTTGGAGGTATCCTCGCAGCTTCTCTATCCCTACCCGATCCATGTCGAGACCCTGTTTAACCCAGTCAGGACTAGAGAAGAACCTTTGTTCCAACCTTGACCGGGCGCTCAGATCGAGACCTCCTTTGAGTTCTTCGGGACTGGGGTTCTTGAGAAGGAAAAATCCCAGCTTGAATTTGATGTTGCCTTGATTTTTGGCGACGAGTGCCAGCATGTCTTCAGTACCCTTGTTGATGAGGTCTGGCTTCGTGATGATTCCGACTGTTCTCTCTCCAAGGGTATCATGCTTCCTCGCCAGTTTGATGATTGACTGATTAGCCATATCGTTGCCCGCTTGCAAAACGGCGAGAATGATTGTCCGAGAGCTTTCCAGGTAGGATGTGACCATGCTATGTACAGCCTCGACGTCTTCCTCCGTCTGCTCTTCATTGGGGTTGGATATGAGTCCTGGTAGGTCCACCACGCTGAGATGCAGTCCGATGGGGCCGGCGACTTCGATTCGGAGAGCATCAGGGGCAAAAGCGTGCCCGTCGTTCTTGTTCGAATATCCACGGATGTTCATCAACTTTGACACTTCCTCGATAATTTGAGGCAGCTCTGATAGATCGTCAATGTCCCTGCGATATGTAGAGAGCGTCTGCTGAACCTCTGCCGGCCGCGAAGTATGTGGCCTGATGCTGGCCGTATAAACGACCGACTTTCCCTCCGCATGGCGAAGGATGATTTCTGTTGGAAACCTGGTGCAAAGTCCGTCTTTTCGAGGAAATGGGATTCCTGTGATGCCCTCCAGGACGGAGCTCTTGCCAGCCGACTGGTCTCCGCACACAGCCAGTTGAGGCAAGGCTACCAGATCACCGACTCCATGAGCCCTGATCTTTTCGATTTGGTTCAGCCGATGGCTGGTTTTGGAGGTTCGGAGGTGGTCAAATTTTCCATCTGGAGGCTCTTCGTTGCTCTGCCCGGATGCAGCCATTGTCTCCAAAGTCTTTCACTGAGTTGAACCAAAGTATGTGATGCTGATAAGACGCGTTACTTCTAGTCCGCAGGAGTTGCCTTTGGTGTCGGGGCAATTTTGGTAGGCTCACCTTGGCTGGGCTGTGGTTCTTGAACCTGTTCAATCTTCAAGTCACAAACTTAAAGATGACCTAGAATACATCCATCTCTATCAAGTGAATTAGACGGGCCTTGATCACCCTCCCGCGTCCCCTTAGGGAGCATGAAACTTGCCATGCGGGAGTTGGCATCGTCGAACTGCACGCTCCCGAGCGCCACGTAGGTGCATCGGTGAACTTCCACGAGGTACATGTGCCATAAGGCAATTGGTGTTGGAAAATTTCTCATGAAAATGCATCACTGAGGCACTCACCGGCTCGTGAATTGCGGTGAGAAGGAAAGCATCGGGGTCATCACATCGGTTGGCTACAGGTTGTTGTTGCCCGGCATCCAAGTCGCGGAGCACCTCACGCAGTTAATGAGGGGTGCTACAGGAGAGACTGTTGACACGACGCGTCATTTAGGCAGGTCTCAATGAAGACAACATTAAGAATTTTTCCATTGAGTTTATTCACCTGTAAGTCATGTCCCCTCTTCAGCCGGCAAACAACATTCACTCTCCCACTTGCTATGACTTTACTTTCCCCAGCCAGCCTGATTGTTGGTAGGGTCAGCAGCCGTACCTTGTCTGTCCCAGCCAGCCTGGTAATTTGTGGGATCAACCGCGGCCTCACGTCTTCCTCAGCCTGCCCCATTGTTCGTTAAATCCACGGTCGTGCCTCATTTCCCCCAAGCAGGATGGCCGTTGATAGGGTTGTCAGCCGTCTCCCGTTTTTCCCAGCCCGCCTGGTTGTTTGTCAGGTCAACGGCTGTAATTCGTCGGCCCCAACCTGCTTCATTATTGGCTAGGTCAACTGAGGTGGTGTCGCGTTGTTCGACTGGTGCGGCGTCGACAGCACTCAGCAGAGCAATGGCGAAAGGAAGGAGTTGAGATATCTTCATATCGAGAGTTCAGTCAGGGCTTATGAGAAAAGAACTGAGATTTTGTTGTTTCTGAAAAGTGTCTCTGAGTTCTGAAGGACAATATTGATTGACTAAATAGCCATGCTGGGGTTCGGAGGCTGTCCACTCAGGTTATATGCTCATCCATTAGTGAGCACTTGCGCTTGCCCGGCATGCAAGCAGAGCTTGACAAGCACACCGCATATCTCATTACAAGGATCACGACTATACATAGTAGCTTAAAAGAGCCCAACAAGGAACACTCTCCGGTTGTGTCTGGTAAGGCTGCTGACGCTTTATATAGGATAATTGTCGATCAGCAGGGATCATGATGAGGAGACGTTGCATCGGTCTCACTCAAATCCTTTCCCATTACACAGCCTTCAGCCTATCCTTTGTTGTTAAGCGCCCTGAGCCAATGATTGAACCGAGTTGTGAGAGAAAATGCATCTCAGATCACGCCTACGGCTCATCCTTTATAGCACGCATAGTCTGCTTTGCAGGTTGATAAAATTGGAAAATCCCGCAATAGCTTCGCAGGACTAGGTGCACAGAGCAAACAATCAATTTGTCGAAAAAGTCCTCTGAATAGTTCTACGATAAGGAGCATCTTCTCGCCGATGATATGACAGATAATGGCCACAACGGTCAAATATTAAAAACATGTCACGAGCAAGATTCCTTTCATATTCTATTGCCCTCCACGTTGTCGTCGTGCTATTAGTAGCACTATTGTCAACGTGGGAAATTTAGTATCGGCAATTTGCTTAATTGCGGATATTGAACACAGTATACTGTCAGTGCTTTTGCCTCAATATCAAGCAATTACATGTTCTGACTTGGCCGATAGCTCCGGCGCAATCTGCGGCCAAGGACGAGAGGGTGATCTTCACAGGAGGTCTTCATGGCAATAGATCTGCCTATCATGAATACTCTAACGAAGTCAATGAGCGATGAAATAGCTATTCTCAACGGTCTTTCAGACCCCGGCATTGCAAAAATGACGAGAGTGTTGACAAGTTGCGCCTCAAGACATTGGCATCTCTTAGATTCCAGCCTCCCCAGCTTATTAGCTTAGCATAAAGGTAGGCTTGCCAGCAACCATGCGCTGTAACCCGCAATCTCTGGGGTCTAGCCCGAATAATGCTCAAGTATCTGGCATGCCGGCGGCAATATCGGCGTACTGGCTATTTGGCCGCTTACGAGATTCTTACTCAAGTCCACGTTGCCCAAGGCCGAGCAGCCTGCACGGATGAGGCTCTTCTCATTCTCGGTCGGCCCAGCTGGGGATCATTAGACAGGGTTAATGCGGCTGTTCATAGTCCCGTAACGCTTGGCCGTACTAGCTCTTTACTTCCAATACAATACACCAACAGAAATGCATTTCTTGGAAGTCGATGACCCGGTATAGATCGCATTCTCAAGCCGCAGGAATTGTTAAACAGCAGTCTTGATACCCCTTGACAAACAGCGTACAGCCGTGGAACGTCAATCGCACCTTTAACATCGAGGACGCACCCCCGATCGATGAATTGACACGCAATACGCACTATAGTCGCGGTCTCCTGTCATTGTAGGTCGTACGAGACAGAGAAACGAGTGTCGATTGACACATTCTTGCCCGTGACTTTCCATGTTATGGTTCTTATTATCCCATGAGAGGCCATGTGCCAAGTTTTTGAGACACGCCTCACTGCAGAGATGCCCGTCAAATATGTTCTCATCTGGCGTCGAATCCTGTCCTCGTGCTTTTCCTCTGCGGTTGGCCCGACTCCGAGCCTTCACAACAGCAACAGGTTATGGAACGAATTTCGAAATACATACGCGAGTCTTGGAAAGATGTCAGCGTATCCTCATCATCTCTGTGAATATTGTTCGAGTCTGTGCCCTGAAACGTCTCCTTAGGGTGCGAGTTGGGGATCTTTTGAAGTCCTTTGAGCCTTGAGGTTTGCACAGGGTAAATCAGACCTTTGCCTTTGCCTCTGCGTTTCTTTCTCCGCGGGAATGCTGTGTAGGATATCGGCGTACTCAACAGCCGAGGTATCAAGTCTATTCGTCATGCCATGATTCAGGGGGTGGCTCCCCTGACTACGATAGGCATCTTGGAATGGTAGACTGTACCTGTGGGCATGGCAGGAGTCTGGGAAGAAACCTAGTGCCTTTCGACTCCCAGTGCAACCTTGGCTGATTGCAACTCACCTCCTTGAGGTCCTTGTTCCTTCGATACGTTAGAAACAGCTCCAAGAGGTCTAGAATCTTCTACATTTAGATAGAGGGATGACTGTCATTACGTGGCTGTAACCCAGCCCATTCTTAGCTCTTTTCGACTACTCATGGATCTGACTGAAACTTTGTGGCTGTTATGCTGTCCATTTGTCAACTCAGCCTAGCTCTATAGCCCTTTAGGAACAGAAATCAGTCATGGGCGTTGATACCTGGCTTGCTGAAGAACGACGGTGCAATAAGCCTTGAGGAAGCCAGTTACAGGTAGTTCCGCGCGGCGACGGATAAAACTCAAAGCATAACATAGACATTCGTCTGGTAAATTGAAGGCATCATGATACAAATGGTCTATAATCTGCTATAATTAGGACGGCAGTTGAACCAAGCCACCCATCGTCCCGTCGATATTCGTGGTCTAGGACTTACACGGCGATTTGACCGTATGCGATTAGATTCCTACTGAGAGCGTCTTGGCAGTCGCATCTCACAGCCCAATGTCGATCATTGACCATCTTTCAGCATCATCAAATCCTGCCCCTTGAGAACTAGTACCACTAATAGCGTTGCTTCCCGGAACATATTCCTCGTACATGCATACAAAGCCTCCGAGGTAGTGGAGGTGGCAACACGCGTCCACCACGTACGCCTTGCAAGCCACGCATGGTCTAGTGCCTAACCATCCAATCCAAATGCCTGTCTATTCTGATTATTTACCCTTGCTTTTAAGCACAGATTTTGAGCCTTGTCGTGTGGTTGGACTATCGCGGCAGCAAGTGGAGAGCGGCCGCGGCCCCACGAGAGTCGTCGTCACCTCGTCCCTGGAGCTCACAAGGTTCGGTCTATCACCGAGGAAGCACTGAAACATCGGTAGTGCAACTTGTTTGCGTAGGCCAATGGGGAGGGAGCCATTAGGCATCGAGACGGCTCCCAGCCCTCCGCTACCGGGGCTCCGATAACCTCATCCTTGACGCCCTGGGCTAGATGCCGGTGGGTTAACCAGTGCCGGGTTTGTGGGGGTATGTTGCCGAGGGGCGATGCAGGGGTTCCCTCAGCCACTGCCGACACTCTCGAGATGCCCTCATGCTGTATCGACCGCCGTAGAGAAGGGGAGATGGCTCCCATGGCACTGACTCGAGAGGCTTTGAGATATACGCGATTCACATGCCCGATCAAGATGGTTGGCGTGGCTACGACCGATCGGAGGATCCGATCATGCTTCAGAGCCTTGGACGAGAGTGCAAACTTCCATCGATGTATTTGGTCTGGCGCAGGGAGACAGGGAGACCGTTCAACATGTATATAGTCGCATGTGCGCCCACACCTCCGAGTTGTAATAGTCTCAACAGTTTCAAGCATTCATCTTCTACATATCTGTTCCATTATCTCCAGGCTACTTGATTGTTTGCGTTCCCACATCTCTTTCACTCGACATGCGCTTCTCTTCTATCGCGGCCGTCGCTGCCATCACCAACCTGGTCCAGGCTCATCCCGGCCATGACCTCACAGAGGAGATCCTCGAGCGTCGGAACTTTGTCAACTCCATCCACCGGAAGGATCTCTCGCACTGCACTGAGAAGCTCCGTGCTCGTGGTGTTGAGGCACGAAGTATTGCTAGGCGCTCGGCGGCTGTTGAGGAGGCTCGCGCTCTGAGAGGATTTTCGAAGAAGGATCTCCAAGACGTTCTGTCCGAGTCTCACAATGAGTCGAGCCTGGCCTACACCCCGGAGACTGATCCTTCGAAGCTCTTCAGCGGTAATTCGTCGTGCCTGTTGACCCCTGAGGTGACTCAGGGACCATACTGTAAGGCAATCTCCCTTGCCCAAATCTCAAAACGGCATTGTATTGACCAGTTGGTGTAGATGTCGGTGGCGAGTTCGTCCGGAAAGACATCACAGATTCCCAGCCAGGTGTCGACATCACCCTCGATTATCAGGTCATCGATGTCGACACATGCGAGCCCGTCCCTGACGTGTATGTCGAAATTTGGCACTGCAACAGCACCGGCGTCTACTCGGGTGTCCTTGCGAACGGCAATGGTAACTCGGGTGACGAGACGAATCTCGACAACACCTTCCTGCGAGGAATCCAGGAGACCGACTCCGATGGCGTTGCACAGTTCAAGTCCATCTTCCCCGGTCACTACACCGGCCGTGCTACCCACATCCACGTCATGGTGCACACAAACGCCACGCTCCTTGCCAACAAGACACTCGGCAACGACGACATCTACGCATCTCACGTCGGCCAGGCATTCTTTGACCAGGATCTCATCACGGCCGTGGAGAAGATCTCCCCGTACTCGACCAACACCCAGGAGCTGACCACAAACGGCGAGGACGACATACTTGCAGAGGAGGCGGACGATGTTGACCCCTTTATGAGCTACGTCTATCTCGGTGATGATCTCAACAGCGGCCTCTTCGCTTGGATTGCTTTTGGTATCAACACTAGCTACTCCAGCCACATCACCCCGGCGGCAAACTACTATGAGGATGGAGGTGTCGCAAACGAAAATGCTGGTATGGGCGGTGGCCCTGGCGGCCCCGGAGGTAACGGCACGAGGGGCATGCCTCCGGGTGCGGGGACTCCTAATGCTACTCACTCTGGGACTGCCTCGTCCGGGTTCCCGTCCACCGTCGCGACTATCACCAGCACTGGTGGTGTTGGATTTGCGACCCTGCTGCCGTACGGCGCTGTCGCCGGTGGCGTTGGCCTCGCAATGCTGCTTCAGTAAGCACCGGCCACGATAGCCACATCTTAATACAAGACAAATGGGCTGCAAATGCAGGTTGGGTAGTAGGGACAAAACCATCTAGGAGTGCAATCAGAAGAGTGAATGAAATACTTACCAAAGTTCTGACCAAAGATGAAAAGTCCCGGTAAAATTATTCATTCTTTTAGTGATGTCTAGTACAGCATTTGTAAACCCCTATAATGCTCAGGGATAGATCCGGGCGGTATGAAAGATTCCAGGACAAGATTTTTGTCAAATATCTCATGTGATTTGTTGAAAACCTGTCGCAACATGTCATTTTGCAAGCGAATTAGGTGTAATCCTCCATGTGTGAACTCGTTTGTAGGATCCTTTCCACTCCGCTAAGCATATTCGAGTATGACTCCCCTCAACGAACCCTTGAGGTTTCTTATGACTTCTGTATTCATCCCGCCCTGAGTACATGACTCATTCCCGTGATGCCGACGGTGATTTGGAAAGATCTTGTCGGCTACGGAGGCGCCAGATCAGTTGCTACGGAATGGGCCTGGAAGCAAGGTTTGAGGCCATCGGAGCAGTCCCCAAATGGATTTTTCAAGGAGCATTTACCGAGTTGGCGTTTTCCACGCCCTTCACTGCTTAGTATGTTGCCTTTACACTCTTCATAATGGATATCTCAAGGCTAACTGTGGCTTTCAGAACTCGATCCGGCAAAACTTCATGTTGAAAGCGCCTCCTCCATGTGATGAGTCACTGCCTTGACTACCTCAGGTATGTTTGGTCTCGGCTACTTTGTCATCCACTTAACACTCGTTACTACATACGACTTGGGGGAGTTTTTCTAAGTGTCGTGACTACTAATGGCGTGGTGGTGGAATGGGCGCATAGACATCGATGGGTCGAGTCCAGAATGGCTGAGGATGAGGAGCAAGAACAATGGCCACGAAGCGATACATAATCACACAAGAAAATATCAATCACTGGCTACACTTAGGTATTAGAACTTTCGTCGTCGCTGGTCATGACAATATGATCGTATGGATATCTGATCCATCACAACATTGCGAAGCCCTCATTAAAAGGGAGCTCCTCTGCCAACAGCTGTAACTGGTTGCCGTATAACATCCGCGCCGTGATCCGTACCTGCCATAGGAATAGACTGACTTCCAAAGTTCTAAAGGTTCCGATAAGGCGAATAAGGTTTCGCATCCAAGACAGACACTTTGAGGCGCGACAACGCCAACATTGAAGTTTGGGCATAGCCCAACGAGGCTTCACTCAACAAATACTTCTTTCCCTTCGCTTTTCACGTTCAGGCAGAATATAAAAGGAGGCCTTGCCGCCTCCCATCAAACAAATGTCTCCGTTACAACTCTCTTCCGGCTTACACAATACCTCTCGATTCAAGCATTACTCTTCAACCACCACTCTCGCAACGCAAAGCTTGAGCTTGACCTTGTGATAAAGCCACAATCGACAAAACCCCCCCGGAAGACTCTGAGACTTACCACGGCCAAAATGGACAGCCTCGATTGTTTCCATTGGTCTGTCTTCACCATTTGCCCCCGTTGCTTCCATCCGAACAACGCCTCGCCGGAGATTTACGGCTCCCCCGAGCAATCGGTGCTCACGGTTTGCAGCTTCTGCCTCCACATGGAGATGCTGCCGGCGTCCGAGGAATCTTCCCGGGTGCCAAAGGATGGTCTTCTTGCGTCCATGGCCTTTTGGACAAAGTCGATGCCGGCCAGGGGAGGACTCCTGCAGTACCTCCAAGACGACGCCGCCTTCTCGCCACCAGACTCCCTCGTCCCGCCCCATGGGGAGTTGGACATTAGGCTACAGACCATGGAGAAATGGCGCACCATGTGGGAAGAACGTAAACGTTTGCCCATAAAGCCATTCTTCTACACGACCCTCCAGCTCGCGACTAGCCTGGTCATGCCTCTCGACCGGCTCAACACTGTTCCCGAGGATCTGGGCGTTTACTGCGGTCGTACAATGAGCTCGTTTCTCCATTTCAGTAAGTGGCCCATGTTCTTCTTTGTCTACTGAGCCTTCACTAACATGGCGTTGCAGTGGTAAATGGGTCGTGGCCAGGTCTCAGCAAGCAGGGAGACAATCCTCCTCCGAGCCCAGTTGGACGCGAAAAGGTATGGAAAGATGTCAACCCGACCCTCGCGAGAATCGCCCGCTAACTACATTACAGTGCCTTCGTAGAGACCGAAACTCTTGCGTCCTTACAGGATGGCCGGATCCCGACGTCTGCCACATCATGCCGTCAAACGAGAGCGACATGAACCTGGAGCTGTTCCAATTGTCGCTTCCTCTCCTGGGCGCCTTACTCGGGCCTCAGGTGGCCAGCCAGGTCTATGGGCTCGCCACGACAATGCATGGCGCCACCGACAGAGCCTGGAACATGCTTTCCCTGCGTCCGGGCCTCGTCAAATGGTGGAAGCAAGGGCTCTTCGGGATCAAGTGCATCGGTGTCAAGCCATCTCGCACCAGCACTTGCAAGGTCCAGCTGCAGTTCCACTGGATGCCGCAGCATGACCGCCTCCCAGACGACTTGCTCATGGCAGAGCTCGGAGATGTTGTCAAGGAAGTCTCACAACATCCTGACGGAGAAGAAGTCCCCTCGGTGAGAAGGGCCTCCGGCCGTGAGCTTGAGAGTGGCTTAGTCGTCGAAGTCGAGATGGAGAAGCGTCTGGTGGGAAAATTCAAGTTGGCCATCGATATACGATGGGCTTGCAGCTTGATTCTGGCCTTTTCCGGCCTCTCCAGGGCTTGGGAGCAAGAGGACTGCTTCGGCAATTCGCGTGCTGATGGTGAGAACACTCGGGTGTGTGGTGCGGGGGAACAGACTGAAGAGTCTGGAGAGGAAGAGACGGAGGAGGAAGAGACGGAGGAGGAAGACTCTGAGGAAGAGTCTGAGGAGGCAGATTCTGGGGAGGCAGATTCTGGAGAGGAAGACTCAGCGGAGGAAGACTCTGAAAAGGAAGGGTCTGAGGAAGAGGAAGAGTCTGAGGGAGAGGAAGAGTCTGAAGAGGAGAGGTCTGACCAGTCTGAGGAGCAGGAGACTGATGAGTCTGAGGAGGATGAGGATGAGGATGAAGACGAGACCAGCGTTACTTCTCCACCAGAAAAGGACTGGAAAGAAGATGATGAGAGTGACGGAGAAGATTATTGTATGCCATTCTCGATGTTGAAGAGGTGGTAAAGAGAGTTGAGGTACCAGGAAGTTAGCGAGGATTATACCCATTTCTTTGACTGCATAGTATCAGCGATTAAAAGATATTTCAGTGTTGCACCGGTTATCCATATAATTTATCGTGTAGTGTGTGTTCTTATCTGTAATGAAATATGGCATGCTATTATGCATGTCAGGTATTTTTTTTCATTGCATGACGAGCAAAATTTCTTGCTTTTCCAACAGCGAGAGATACGTGGCTAAGGAATCCATGAGCACAAGAGCAGTCGCAGCAGCGTAGGAGATACTTACAAGCACAAAGCCACCGGCTCCCAACAATCCTCATTGCCTTCTTCAAGAGCTCAATCTTCTCCAGAGCGGCTGTTGTCGGCGACTCGTGCGCTATCCTCAAGTGTATGGAGGCCACGCGGTACAGCAGGTGAATCAGGAACGGACTGACAATGGCGCATATTGCTTCCGCGTCTCCTTGAACGAAAGATAATGCCATGTCGAGCGTCACTTGCGAGATGTGAGCGCTTTCAGGAGAGAGACGCGTGCCAGAATGATCTGTGTCCTTGTCCATGTAGGAGGCGTCGAGCAAGAGGACACCACTGCATCATTAGCAGAATGCTTAGGCGACGGCAGATGGGAGCAGCTTTACCTATAACATATTGATGTTTGACTACAATACTCCAACCGTCTCATTGATGCCTCAATCTTGGACACATTGACGAGCGCAAAGATGGTGCGCCGCAACTGAGCAGTTTCATTGGATTGTTCGGATACCTGATGGAGGACTTTGCTGAGCAAGTGCGCGGCTTGGGCGAATCGCGCAAAAAGGCCTAGATGATAGCTGTTGGCTGTAGCTAGGGTATATATATGGTGAGAGTCAGGCACCTTTGTAGAGTCAGCCAAGATAGAAGCCATGTACAGTCCATGAAGCACTCACTCCCGTCTCCCATGCCTCATCGTCGACGGGCAGGTAGCTTTCAATATCCGCATCTGGCGTAATCAGATGCCGTTTGGGATCGCTCAAGTTGAGATATCTGGACATCGATCAGCATCGTCAGCCCCTACATGTACTGACAACAAGCTGCCCACCTGTCGAGAACCAATATCGCCCACCAAATGCGACGGCGTTCTTCTTCCTCGATCCAATGAGTCTTTCCCGCAGTCGACAAAAGCACAGTCTTGTCGATGCCCAACGCAGTCGCATACCGAGCACACGATCCCAACGAGAGAAAAGCTGCCGGGTAAACGGCGTGTCCCAGCTCATACAGCGCAATCAGTATAGCAGCCTGCAACACAAGAACAGACAAGACCCCCGAAGTCTCAATCTTGAAGTGCAACAGTTTCACCGTCTCATACAAGGGTGTGTTCCAAGTCTTCTGGCGAGCGCAGCATAGCTTCATGGAAAGCACAAGCAGGAACAACTCGGCTCTCTGGTACGTCAAGCGATTCAGCAGATTTGCACAAAAGTGCGGCTTCGAGATAATCGGCATCCATGTGTGAACCGACTTGAAGAACTGAGCTGATGTAGCCTGAATGTCCATCACGCTGCCCACAAGCTGAGCAATGTCGTCGGTTACCGGTACCTCGACATTGATGACTGTCAAGTGCGCTCGAGAAAAGACATCGGGGTCGAGAAAGCGTTCCGCGATGAAGCTTGTGTTGCCAGAAGGGAATGGCAGCCGCTCTACGTCTTGATGGTTTTTCTTGGTGATCTCAGTTGAAGGCGGGTTGACGGCGGATTTGCTTGCCGATGAAGCCGCCTTGATGCGGTCCTTGAGCTTTTGCCTTTTTCGCCGGCCTGGGTAATTACATGGTAAATTCTTCCTGCAAAAACAGTCACTATCCTGAGCTCATGACTTGAGTGTACATGTTCACCGTCAAGAGACGGACTCACTGAGTGCAGAGCGTACACTCGGGATACACTTTATCGCAGCGCCGCTTCGACTGCCGACAGGCAGAGCACGACCATTTCAAAGTCGGATCGCCAGCTTTGCTCTGGTTTATCGTGGCCGGCGGCGTCGGCGACGGGCTTTCGTGGGGAGTGGACATTTTCGTGCGGTGTAAGATGAAAGGTGAGCGGACTTATCATCAGCGGCGTGGGGATTCTGCGGACTTATGAGTCGGTGTTATAATAGTCACTCCTGATTACTATACAAATTTTAGGTAAGACGAAGAACATCAATGGAGATGAGCATCGCTTTTATGGGCTTATGGTATAAGTGGCTAGTGTAGCTTTTGTTTCTCGACATTATTGCTATCGACTGTAAGGCCTACCTATCACTTTGTTCGAGTCCAGGAAACCCTTCGAAAGTTGATGCAGTTGCTAAGTACTCGCTCCAACTTTCTGAAGAATCAAGAGAGAGGGCTATCTCACTGCTCGTGGTCATCGCAATCCTAGAGGAATCTTTGAGTTTCAGGGACTTGACAACCCACCATATTCCTCACAAGTGTGAATAGCAGTAGTAGGTATTACCAGTTACATGTATTCAGGCAATCCAAGGTAAACAGAGGACAGTAGAGCAGACGAATGCATCAAGATTATCATCTCTCAGCCTCACTTATCCTCCTCAGCCCCATACATACTCACCGACGCCTCATGAAGAACCCTCCCCAAATCCCTCTCTGTAGGCCCATCTTGCTGCAAACCCATCTCAATCAGCATCCGCATCCTCCTCTCCGCCTCTAGCTACTTCGACAACCTCACAAACGTCTACACCGACGAAAAAAGATCCGTCAGACGCGGCAAACCCGCGCGATCATTCACCGCGCGCTTCGTCTCCAGCAAAGCCTGCCGGTCAAAGCCCGCAATCCTCCTCGCGAAACTATCCACAAAAGCCGCCAAGTCTGCATCCTTGATGGCGCGGTTAATGTATCCGTACTGAGCAGCGGTCACGGCATCAAAGTCGTCGCCGCCGAGGACAATCTCCAATGCGCGCGAGCGGTTGACCAAACGAGGAAGCCAGTCGAGCGTTCCTCCGCCGCAATGGATTCCCGCGCCGGCTTCCGGCTGTGAGAAGATTGCCTTTTCAATGCTGCCGAAGCGCATGTCGCAGGCGAGGGTGACTTCGCTTCCATGGCCACGAACACGGCCACGTATTTCCGCGATGCTGACGACAGGGACGCGCGCGAGGCGAAGCACGAAGTTGCCCCAATCGAATATGGGTGAAGTCTCTTCATCGGCGTCCTCGCCTTCGGTTGCCAGCAAGTCCCAGTGGGCGATGAAGTACTCTTCGGCGGCACTGTCAAAGACGATGACTTTGACGGCTCGATCATGTTCAAGCGCCTCGATGAGTGCGCGCAACGCGGCATAGGTTCGCGGCGTGAAGAGGTTCAAGGGGGGAGCGCTGAAGGTTGCTCGCCAGTGGGCTGGGCTGATTTTGGTCAGTTTGAGGACATCATCGAATGACCACCGCTCCGAGACGTAAGGCATGTTGGCTGATGGGTATCTGATGTCTTTGAAACGGTGTAATGCTTGTCCGAAAGATCATTTACTTGTGACTTTCGCACGGCATCGCTATGTTGGAGGATTCATGGTGACCATTGCATCCTTTTATGATGCTTCAGCTACATAGTTTACTCGACATGTTTCCCTAACAATTTCCGTAAGAAGGAAGAGCAACAGCCGGGACAGTCTAACGTCCGAATTGTCTATCAATATAGAGTATGAAGCGATTAGGTCGGACATGCTTACCGTGTCACATGAAACCTGCAATGAAGCCATTTGTGAGCATTTTCTCTGCGGCATATCAAGCTGTTGCGACCTTTCGGTGTTATACAAAGTACCTATTCAACCTCTCGTATCTTACGTGTGGCTCAGATTCAGGCAGTAGATCGGAGGATCTGAGACATAACACTGCAAGACAACTCAATCTTCTGCCTCATAGCGTTAACAAATCTATCAACATTCTTCTACGTAGAGATACGAGTACACGTCATCCAATGAAGACGGCCCTATTTCTCATCTCCAAAGCGGTTCTTGCTCACAGCAGGATCGTGAATCGAAATCGTCTTCTCCTCCAGAAACTCCGCAAGTCCGTACTTGCCATTGTTTCGTCCCCAGCCACTGTCCTTGGTGCCTCCAATAGGCAGAGTCTGCTCATCGTACCCCGTGGTCTCGCAGATGTGAACCTGTCCGGCCTCGATCTGCTGGGCAACTCGAATGGCATTGAGAACATTTCGGCTGTGAACAGCGGCGTTGAGACCATATGTCGTATCGTTGGCAACCTGTATGGCCTCGGCCTCGTCCTTGACAACGGTCAGAATAGCAGCAGGGGAAAAGATCTCCTCGTGAAAGATCTCATCAGTGCGCTTCACGTCCGTGACAATGGTGGGAGTGAGGCTCGTCTCTTCGGCATTCAGGCTAGCATCACCGACAATAAAGCGGGCTCCAGCAGCCTGAGCTCTCAGAAGGAGAGCCTGTCCCCTCTTCGCCTGCTTCCTTGACACGGCAACGCCCTGTTTGCCCGCAAACGTGGTAGCAAGAGCCGTCTTGAGCTGGCTGATGAGCTCCTCGGCGACATCCTGCACTACCACAATACGGTCAGTGGACATGCAGATCTGGCCGTGGTGCATAACCATGCCCTGGATAATCTTGCCAGCCGCATGCTTCACATCAGCATCCTTCAGAACAACTGCCGGTGCTTTTCCGCCGAGCTCCATCAGCACAGGCTTCAGATACTTGCTGGAGAGCTGGCCGATGATGCGGCCGACAGCAGCACTGCCAATGAACTCGACCTTGCGAATTGACGGGTGGGCAATCAGCGCCTCGGTGACAGCAGTGGCATCCTCGCGGGCCGCCTGGACAATGTTGATCAGGCCCTTGGGCATACCGGCTTCCTCATAGGCCTGAACAATGAGGTGGTGAGTCTGTGGGCACATCTCCGACGCCTTGAGCACGACGGAGCAGCCAGCACCGATGGGAGCAGCCATTCCCCGTCCGCTGAGAATCATTGCCGCGTTCCAAGGCGGTATGACGAGGACGGGGCCGACGGGCTCCTTGTACACCAGGACGATGGATCCAGGGACTTCCAGAGGCGGCAGCTCCCCTGTCGTCATGTGCGAGATGTGCGAGGCAATCTCGCGCATGCCACGCGTCAGATTGCTCACGTTGAATCTGGCCCATCCCTCGAAGCATCCCGTTTCAGCAATCTGCACTTCAACGAAGCGATCGGCCCAGGAGTCGATGATATCAGCCGTGCGAAGAAGCAGATCTCTACGCTGGACATGAGTCGACGTCTTCCACTTGAGGAAGGCTCGCTGGGAGGAGTCGGCTGCCAGCGTAGCGATCTCGGGAGTGGCGCTATGGGCGTAGTGGATGACTTTGCATTGGGAGACTGATTCGACGGGGATGAGGCGGGCGTCGTGGACGGGGAGGGCGAGGCCGTCGATTCTGATGGGGATGACTTGCTCGCCGTTGGGGCCTTGGACAAAGGACATGGTGGAAGTGTTGGTTCGGTGGCTTGTTGAGGTGTATCGAGTTGCCTATCTGATGGAAGATCTTCTGCTGAGTGTGGCTGGAGTTGCTGATAGTTGCTGATAGCGGTGGTGGTCTGTCTCATTCTCAGATGGATTCACGATACTTATATAGATAGCTTGAAGCGTATATTGGACCGTCGTCCTGTGTACAGCATCGAGAGAAACACCACCCATCACAATCCATGCTTCATCCCGTGCATTTCTGTACAGAACAGCAACACGCAGGTAGTACATCCCATCCATGGCTCATGTCAATGCACATCCTGGCAGGGCAAGTCGCATCCAACCCCCGCCAACAAAGAACACAGCAACGCCGAGTTGAGCAGTTCCGGGCTCAACTTTGGACGAGTGTCTTCCCGACCTCGTCTCAAGGTCGAACCTGTCGGCGACTCGCCCTCCGTGAGCAGCTCTCGCTCGCTCGGCATTTGAGATGTACTACTTCAAGGAACCTTCCATCTTGTGTATATTCTCTCGTTCTTTGAGGAACAGCGATGCCGATGGCGCGGACTTCCGGTTTGTTCAGCACGGAGTTAGAGTAGGGGCGCATCCACGAGAGGCATCTTCTCATAGCAGATGGCGATCATTTCCATTACATCCTTTCTCTGTTGCTTCAAGCTTAATCCACGATTCACTCAACACTCAGACCTCTCATATCAGGCAATTCTACTTTCTGTCTAACCCAACGCCAAACTATGCACAAGTTTCAACCCCAGCCTAGTATCCTGTCCCTCCCATCAGCCCTATCCCACTTATTGCCGAAACACCCCTACATCATCTCTCTTGGACAAAGGTGATATCCACTGGTTCGGCTTTCCGTGATTCGGCTCGTCCATATCTCCGGTGACAGGGGACAGAAAAACGGAGCTTCTCGCAGCGCGCCTTAGCGGGTTGAGAGGATAGGGAAAGCTGCAGATCAAGACATCGTCGTGATGTTACTTTGAGAATGTCGCAAGATACATCGCGCGTCCGACGTGCCGATCATCGAGTTGCATCCTGTGACTTGACCATGGAACAAGGGGGTAGAAGCGCATGCTGTGATGTTTAACAACGAGAGGGAGTCGTCCAATTACTAAGTCAAGTGTCCGGCTACATCGATCCAGGATATTCTCATCGCCATTCCTATACGGCTAGAGACTTCATAAATCGAGGAGTGGCATCGGCTTTCATAGCTCACAGGGTAGTTCATGCATGGGAGGGGGCGAAAGCTGATCGAGTCAACATCCAAGGCAATAATATCACGTATGAGGTTTCACTCTTAAACAGTCTGAAGCGATACGATCTATTGAACTCCTTGTCCAGCTATCCACTCCAGAATCCTCCTCCCACTGCCGCGGAGCAGAGACAAAATACAAGTCTGGTAAACCCAAGCTCCCAAGTCTAGAGCCCATCGCAACCTCTCGTGTCCGTAAGCGCGCCCGAGCTGTTGACGTCTAAAAGCACAAGAGCCGAAGCTTGTCCAACTGCAAAGCATCCCAGAAGAGACGTGGCCCGTCTGCCAACTAGATCTTCACCAGTGCTGAGAAAGTAAAGAAAAAACGGCAAGATGGCGATGATAATCTCCCAGAGTCCAGTCGCAGGTTGCAAGTTTCGCCTCCAAATGAACAAGAAAAGAAGAAAATAAATCGGGAAAAGATAAGAAACGCAAACAAAGTGAACCATAACGGAAGAGGCGGATCGGGACCTCTAGGAATTGGCGATGGTGTATTCCCCGTAATTCACCACATGAAGCCGTCCTCAGTGATCTGAATCACCGAGTTTTGCTCCTCATCATCTTGAGCCATAGCGAAGCTCGCTTGGAATCCATCAACCTGCGTATGCGTGCCGTCATCGATCTGAGCACCGTCTTCTTGTCCACCCATATCCTCATCCTCGCCGAACAGGCTGTTTCGATCTCCATCATCGTCGTTTCCTTCCTCATGGTCATCGTAGTCCTCCATATCAGCGTCACCGTCATCATAGCTCGCATCGGGAGGCATATTGAGTGAGCACCGCAGATCCATGCCCGGAATTTCCACCTCCACAGCGCCATCATCGCCAAAATAATAGGCAAAGGCGTCCCCATCAATCGCAAGTTCGAGTTCGGGCAGATCGTCCACGTCAGAGTCCTCCTCCACCAAGTACACCTCCAGATCAATATCCGGATGGCCCTCGCGACAACCGACAACCTCGACATCGTGGAGAATATGCGGCGCTTCATCGTCACTCTCCGAGTACTCGGGCTGGGGATTGACTGCGTTGTTCAAGCAAATCTCAGCGTCAGATTCCTATTCTTCGTCGCTGCTGCTTCCGCTGTATTCATCGCTGTATTCGTCGCTGCTGCTGCTGAAAACAGAGCAGCTATCGTCACCGCTGGAGGAGTCGCACGCAGTGCTGGAGGTATCAAAGTCAGGCGTTCCCGCTCGGCTGAAGATGAGCGAGTGCGGAATGCTGGTGCCAATGCTTGACTGGCCCATGTCGTCGTCCATGGGCTCTTCTTGTTGGGCTTGTTCACTGAGAGGGTTCTCTAGCCTGTGGCTATTGTGAAGCTCCGGAGCTGGACGATTCCATGTGGCCAGAAGCCCGGCACCAATAGTGATGTCTTCGAGCCTAAGCCCGAGCTGTCGTGCCTCTTCAAGCTTTATGTTACCCTTGGCCATGAGAAGGCCTCGAAGAGTATCGCCCAAAGCGTTGGCGACATCCAAGTCAAGCAGACGGTTCTGGATGGCGCAGTGCAGGGCCTCTTGTTCCGGATCCCAGTGCATGTCGTGCCAGGCGGGCAAGCAATCTCGGCCGATGAAGATCTGTTGCAGAGAGACGCCTTGCTGTTTGGCAATAGATAGACGGGTGTTGGACTCGCGTTGGATGTAGTCTGCGACATCACATGCGACAAAGTTCCGCGGGATTGCGCCGTCGAGAAACTTGAGGAAATCGGCGACTTTGTCCCTGACCTCGTCTGGGTCTGCCTCGATGCCTTGAAGGAAGTCAGTATCGCTATGAATGCGGGTTCTTCTTTGTTACGGACGCTTGGCCTGAGACTGTCGACGGATCTTGCGGCGGCGGTGCACGAGCGGGTTGTCATCGTCGCTATCAGAGGACAGTTCTATGACTGTTCGTTTGTTGGATGCCATTTTCGGTGGTGGTTGCGAGAAGCCGTGGTTCTTGAGAATTGTGTGTGCAAGGAGAGATGCAGATGAGGCTTGAGATATGCGGCAGAAGAAGTCGGCAAAGTGTTGAAGAGAAGGAGAAAAGGGAAGAAGAAGAGTTGGGATTAAAAGAGAAGAAGAGTGAGAAAAGCCACCTCAGATCCGCCTCAGAAGGCTGGCGGTGGTGAGAGGAGTAGCAGAGTTCAGGGCGGAGAGATGTTGGGGAGAAGAAAGTGAGAATGCATGCAAAACTCCCCGAGGAGCAAACCTTGATAAGCCAAGGCGGCGCTGTTCTCGATTGCTGAGCAGCAGTTCAGCGCAGTTTGAGTCTTGAGCATGGTCGACAATCATGTTTGCCGGTATTGTCGCCGTGCAAATTCTCGCCATGGCTTCATCTGGGAATGGAAATGCACCGCAAGCCCGCAATGAATCACCCCCTTGTTCTTCTTCTTCTTCTTATTGTCGCCGCGCTCCACGGCCTGCGTTCAATAAGTGCGGCCATCATTCGGGCACATTGTTCCTGTTTCGGTTGCACACCACTGATCGAAGCCAGTTTGGAGTCGTTTGAATCGGATTGTTGAGCCTTGATGATCCATGGTGAGTGAGCCCTTGTCGTTGTGAGGTTGGCACTTGATCCTGTGAACCGCACACAGGGATAGGTGCTATGTACTATGTATCATGCTGTGGCTGTCCATCTTGCTGCTGAGCCACTCTCATTCACCAGCCGCATCTCGGACTAGCTAATCAGAAACCTTAGTCAGCTCGTTCTCAGCATGAACCATGAGCATAGGTATCTTTCAGATTGTGATTGTCCTTCATCCTCACACCTCAGCTCAACAATGCCAGCAGCTGTTCATAACTGAATCATGCCTGACGCCTTCCTTGTCTTCATTTCACATTTTACATCGAAAAGTTCACGATGCCTACCTGGATCAGGTGATCCCAGGCTCGACCACCGCCCCCATCCTTTTTTCTCCCTGGGCGGACTCTCGTCTTCATCGCATCCATCAACCATCATACTACCACGAACTAGCATTCACCAAGATCTCACCCTGGACCTCAGAAAGCATGCATAAATCATCATCAATTCGACTACTTTTTACCACCCAAACGCCTCCTCGAAATACTCGACAGAATGGCTCTGCTTCATCGCCCGATATGTCGCCGCCCTCGCCGCATCCGCCATCTCTCCAGGGCCACACGCAAACACCGCCAGCCGTGATCCAGACGCAGAGGCAGACTCAGCCGCTTTCTCAATCATGACCCCGATATCTGGCCTGCCCATCCTAATTGCCACAGCCGCACCATCAGGCGACTCAGACACATCCGTCTCCTCCTTGCCCCTGAGCACACTGCTCTCCGCCATCCCTTTACACTCCTTCTCCGCCGAAATCTCATCCTTCGGCGTCAAGGGCAGCGAGTCAAGCGACTCCTTTGCAGTGCTTGTGCAGTGAAACATACACTCGATGTCGTCTCGCGCAAGTGCCGCGGCGAGCTCGCGCTGGGCAACCCGCTTCATGAAAGCTTGGCTGCGATTTGACCACACGAGCGTCAATGCGCGTGTGCGTGTTCGTCTCGCTTTGTTAGACGCAGTGGTTCTTTCCATGTGATCAAGTATGTACGGAACCATGGTCGCGATACCAGACCCGCCGGCGAAGAGAAGGACCTCGTCATAAGCCCACAAGGGCTCCGCCATGCCGTAGGGGCCTTCGAGGAGGATGGTCTCTTTATGGACTGCGGGAACCTGGGACTTGGTCTGAGCCTTGAGACAGACGTCACGGAGATGGCGAGTCCAGCCGTCATAGGGGCGAATCCAGAAGGAAAGAAGATGCTCGCCTGCCATGCCTCCATGTGGCGAACCGCTCTCGAACGATGTCACAACAGAGCCATCCACGGTTCTCGATTGCACATCTGTTGATCCTGTTTGTCCTCCAGGCTGGTTCCAATGGGCCAGGGTGAAAGGGTGATTCTCCCAGCCTTTGAGGCGGAAGGGCTGGTACAGATAATAGTGCTGTCCTGGTCCCGGTTTCACATGTGTGTTGATCTGGACGGTGATGATGTTGGCGTCCTGGTCGTAAGCTATGGCCGCGATGCTTCTCTGGAGCTTTGTCTTACGCAGCCGAACGTGGATATTGCAGTAGACTACCCGGACGATTCTCAGGAAACGATCGAAGCTCCAGATGGCAACGAGAGGCCATAGATATGGGTCATATTGGCCGTCAAAGATGGATGTGTGGCTGTGATTCCAAGTCTAGTCAGTATGAGATGGACAATGAGAAGCACCGGACCAGGAGGAGAACGTACTAGAACAGGGCGACAATCACCACGACAGATAGGACGATGTGGATGAGTAGGAATGACTCGTAAATCTTTCTGCGGAACCAGCTGAAGGAGAAGAAGACAATAAAGCTCATCGCACACGTTGCCTACAGTGGGTCATGATCAGCAAACAGGCCATAAGAAATGTCTGCCAAAAGGCTTACCACAACGCCGAGGTAGAACCAAGGCTCACGGAACAATGGTGGGAATTGATACCCTGAAATTACTCTTGTCAACGGAGAACTTCAATGCAAACTCTCCATGAGAGGCAAGCGATCAACATACCGTAACCGGCCGTGTAGTAAAATGCCGTGTATCCAACGGAGTGAATAATGGCCTGCAATGTCGCCACGCGAGCAATGTGTCTGTGGAACAGGTTGAACGTGGAGAATTGCCAGCCCGTCAGCCAGATGAAGATGTTATTTCGGCCGCTAAACATCCATATCAGCGGTAGGTTGGCGTACGACATGACGCCCGTTCGGTCGGCAATATATCGCCATAGCTGAGCAGAAACCTTGGGCCAGCTTCCAGTAAGCCTCTGTTAGTCGTTTGTATCTCGTAAGGAGTTTGTTCATCTTTTTCAGTATGGCTACTTACTATAGGTTGCCGTCGAATGGACGATAGCTGACGCAGCAGAGCACGAAGCTGACGATCCAGTACGAGGCAACGATGAATAGCTCAAGCCGAGTAGGGATCGTGCACCCAAACAGAAGCTGCTGGTGATACGGAGGGAAAACACTGGGAGTAGTAAGGCCCTTGCGTATTCTCGAGTACAGATGCCCAAGTGACTTGGTTCCTGCTCTGGATTTTTCACGGCTATCAGCCGATCCGGTATCTTCGGGGCCGGTCGACGACGGAAGCACACGGCCTTCGAGGAAGTGGGAGATGAGGCGATGAAAAGTTCCGAAGAGGAGAACGATGCCCCAGAATCCGTACATGGCCCATCTGTAGTGTTATACATGTCAGCTCCTTGCTTTCTTCAAGCAGTACAGAGGGGGTAATCTCACCCATAGTTTTCGCGATTTCGAGCCGCAGCATCCCACTCGACCTAGAGAATCTTAGCAACGGTGTTACACAACGAGAAATGAGGCCAAGAAAACTTACCTCCGTCTTGAAGCCCAGATCAAACCAATGCTTCGAGATCAAAACCGGTGTTGTAAGATTCGTCGAGACCAGATCATCAGTCTGATCAAGAATGGGATACTGGCTGATTGCTTCATCCGTCAGGTTGGCAGCCACATCTGCCTCCGATAAAGGTTCCGCGCCGCCGTACTTTCGACATAACGACTTGACGTATTCGATGCCAGGATCCAGGTCAGAGGGCGGGCAGTAGGTCTTGGAGACGGCGTAGATGGAGGCAACTTTGAGCGGGTTCTGGCAGTTGGCTACGTAGTACTTGCCATAGCCGACGCCTACAAAGCTGAGACCTCCCACAATACTAAAGACAGCAGAAACACACTCCTGATCGGCATTGATGGTGCTCGATAGGGCATGTGACGCAAATAAGCCCACGAGAAGCAGGCTGATTCTCAGCAGATACCTTGTGGCTATCATGGCTGGATGATCTTCAGGTCCTGGGAAGTCGACTGTCCCACAAACAGATAAGAACTTTCCACGGCACGGGACGCCAGATATACATCAGCTCGGCAACTTGCGTTATATAACTACTCATTCCTACGATCCCTCGGCAGCTCGTGAACCGTACAACGGTGTCCGCTCACGCCACTGTGGGCTTTTCAAAAACCAATACTTCTGCCTGCAACCGGGGAATCTTGATCCCACTCAGCCCGTATCCATCACCACTCGGATTCCGTCCCCCAGGTAGTTGGCACGCCCTTCATCAACACTCGCAGGATCAAGGTTCTATACCCGCAATATAAAGAAAAAAAACTTCGTCAAGGTGGAGGCACGTTGCTCGACATGGGCTTGATCAGCGGTCTAGATCAGTTGATGCATGTCCTAGGGTCGTATCTGACTCAATCCTTTAGGTAAAGGTGGACTGATCAGAAATCTTATCAGATTGATATTGACTCATCAGATTAGATTAGATCTGATCCTGCCGTGCGAGTGGCTCTGTCGAGGAGAAAGCCCACTTAATCTTCTCCCTTGTCTTGCCTGATTAGGAACGGTCCTTTGTCTCTTCTCCGGCTTCCTTATGCGACATGCCCTCCGGGAATAGGCTCAAGCAGTTGAGCCATTTAATTGCCTATACTGGTTTTTTTTGGCTTGTGACGCTCCGGTCTTTTCTCTCGGATTGTGTCGAGATCAAGATTTTCCAGCAATATATTGGCAGATGTGGATTGACTGGGGAGCAACTGACTGCCGCTGCAGGCCTTGAGATCCCGGTTTCCGCAAACTTTACATCCGAAGTTCCTCTTCGAAGTGAAGACAAAGAGACCCAGATTTTGCCCAAAGGCCCGATATTCCAGCAGTCCGTATTGCGGCTGAGGGTGGATCATCCTTGAAGTGGCGACAGAGCAAGCTTGTTTTTACTCTTCTTTATCTCGCCATGGATAGTCCATCGGGATACGGACACTGGTGCTGCTTCGGAGATATACTTGTTCAGTCTCACAACGCTACAATGCTATGGCTACTCAAGTGTTCCAGAGAGGATTATTGTCAATATGCGACTTCTCCTGATCCCACAATGTTTGGATCTTCACATATTGATGCTGATGATCTGTGGGCTTTCCTTATAGCCTCTATTCCACTAGATGTCCTACTATATCGGTAATCTAGGATTTTACAGGATTTCTCAGAAATAGGTGGCTCAGCCGTGACTCGAGACTATGGATACTACCTACTTCAAGACCAACTATGCACCAAGAGAGGACAGAATAACATACCTAAGTAAGAGCCATAGGAAGTGGGAAACAGCCACAGTACTTTGTACTATCTCTAGAGCAAATCAGTCGCCGTGCATCCTAGTCACCGTATACCACTGCAGACTCTAATCTCTATCTTAACCATAAGTATCCTGGTGTTTCACACAGCAAGGGTAGCAGTACAAAAGTACCGTCACACAGGCCAAGACTTGGCATAGTGGGCAGAGGCAGCGGTCCGGGTAAGCAGCTCCGTCTTCGGGTCATCGAGTTAGTAGGCTATGGCCGGGACATCCATCGAATGAAGATACGAATTGCCAAATAGGATCTATGAGAGTTGCCATAAGCCATCCGATTATAAATAAGAGATCACCAGCCGAGACGCTAGGCTTAAGAAGAGTAGCCTCGCCAGCAGAATAGCATAGGAATATGTTGTATCTTTAGTGCACTAGCAAAAAGAGTCATAGCAACTGGCGTTGTAGTTACACTCCAAGTAAGAATAATGGTTCTCGAATACATGTAGCCTTGATGAGACTATTCTGGACGCTGTTACCCATGTGTGCCTTGCATATATCTCAGTATGAGAGTTTAAGATCCCGGCAATGCAGAAGCGAAGTTGCTCAGCTTCCTAGCCCCACAGCTCTATCAAGAGCAGACCGACAGCGTGTACATCTGAAGAATAACAACGATCATACAGGAGCCGTACAGGCTTGGCCGTAGCAACACATCTAACTGCCTGCATGCAGAAAGGGACGCACTTCTTCCCACCTACAAGAGACTGGAGAAATGGAGTGATATATCACTGGACAGACGAGGGAAAAGAGCTCGACTTCACGATCAAAGGGCATTACGACTCACTTCCTTCGCTAATCAGACGAACCCCTACTTATTAAGGGCAACATTCACACTCTAAACGATTAATAACACCAAAGTCTGCCATTATCTACAGATTATGCTCCATTCCTAGTATATATAACCATAGGTAGAGGAGAGCTCGGGGTCCTGTTAAGCACTTCTCTTAAGTATATTATCTGCTATTTTTAATAGCTAGGGGATCTAAATCTAGGGTTATATACTTCTATTTCTAGTAGTTAACTAACCCTATATTAAGGTAGTTACTACTATTTTACTTTAATTAAACATGCTACTAATAGTACTAGTAAAACTAGGCTAAGTCTATTTTTTACTAAGCCCTTAAATATTACCTTAATAATTTCACCCCCTTTTACTTAAGACTAGGTTATTTTTAATACTAGTACTGCTACTACTTACTTTATATAAGGTAAAGTTATATATAATACTACACCTTCCCTGCACTTTATATAATATTCTTATATTACTTATTAGCGCTTATTTTCTCTCTTTTTATAACTCTTTTATCTTATTAATGCATATCCTTAATAACTATAATAACTAATTTTATAATAATTACTACTACTACCTTTATAGCTATAATTATAACTATATATTAAAAGCTAAGTAAGGATATATAATATATTTATATATATTCTATACCTTACTACTTACTTATAGTTTAACTACTTTATAAAACTAAACTATTAAACTTAATATATAAAGCTATAATATTTTTTTTAAATAGTATTAAAACTATTTTAATACTTTTCTAATCCTTATTCTTTATTATAAGTAATATTTATTTAAGGTAACTAACTTTATAAAGTATATAAAAAGTAAGGAAGAATTTAAGTAACTTTTTAAAAAAGAGAATAAAAAAAAGCTTAAGAAATACTATAACTTAATATAAAAAGTATATTTAAAGATAATTTATAACTATAAGATCTTTTTATATAAAAATGCTAAGAATATAGCAGTAAGGATATACTATAGTACCTTTAAGTCTTTTATATACTTTTTAAAGGGCACTATTTTTAACTAGGAAGCTAATAAAGTTAAGAGCTTAGCACTTAATATAAATATTCTAGTTTAAAAAGGGGATAATATTTACTTAAGTTCTTATAAGGACTATAGGTTAATATAATTACTTTTTTATTAAAACTGTAACTAAAAGCTAAATTATTATAGTAACTGCAGACTATAACTAAATATTTATAAGTATTATTTAATAATATAACCTAAGGATATTAATATTAACCCTATATAATATATAAATACTGTTTATTATAATTAATAAATAAAGCCTATAGTTAATAGTATTATAACTAGTAAAGATAAGCTAAAGACAGTTACTTTAAGAAAGCAGTTAGTTTATATTTAATACTATATCCCTTTTAATAAATATATATTTAGACTAACTAGCTTTACTTCTTTAATAAAAGAGTTATATTTAATAATAGTCTTAATAAATACTAAGTATTAAATTATATATTATCTATATTTATACTATATAGTTTAACTAAAGGAACTATAAAAAATATAAATACTACTTTTAATTACAGTTATTAAAGTCCTACTTATAAGTATTAAAAGCTTAAGAGTTCTCTTTTACTTAAGCTAATATTAACTAACTGCTATTCCCTGCCCCTGCTAGCTGTATATTAAAAAGCATTTAAAAAGGGACTTAAATATAATAATAATACTAAGTATAGTTATATTAATAAGCATTAACAGTTTTAAAGTTCTTCTATACTTAAACTAATATTTACTAATTATTATTCCCTACCTTTACTAGCTGTATATTAAAGACCTTTTAAAAAAAGATCTAAAAATAATAATAAAATCTATAATAATAATATTTATAATAATAATTATAAATAAAAGCGTTAAAGATTAAGGCATCTTGCCTTTTATATACTAAATTTTAATATATCTTCTTTTATTAAATAAGTTATAAATAAGAAAGTTACTAAAATTAAAAATAGCCTTTATTTTAAATATAATTAATAAAAAATAAGAAATATATTCTAAGTTTTTATAATATTATAATCTTTTAAAAATATAAATACTAGGTCTATAAGGAGAAAGGGATAATGCATATTTTAAAAACTAGATTATTTAAGTAAGCCGTATACTTTATAAAAGTATTACTATTTTTTATTTCCTTTAGTATCTTTAGGTAGTTATCTTTTAAGTGCAGCGGCTTATTTAATAGGTTTTAGTTCTTAAAGATCTTAAAGATATAGTTATTATCTTAGCAGGGCTAGGTATAGCAGCTTATTTAAAGGATAGGTTTTAAGTCTTAAAGATCTTAAAGATATAGTTATTATCCTAGCAGGGCTAGGTATAGTAGCTTATTTAAAGGATAGGTTTTAGGTCTTAAAGATCTTAAAGATATAGTTATTATTTTAGCAGGGCTAGGTGCAGTAGCTTATTTAAAAAATAGGTTTTAGGTCTTAAAGATTTTAAGAATATAGTTATTATTCTAGTAGGGCTAGATGCAGCAGCTTATCTAAAAAATAGGTTTTAGGTCTTAAAGATCTTAAAGATATAGTTATTATCTTAATAAGGCTAGGTGCAGCAGCTTATTTAAAAAATAGGTTTTAGTTATATTATTTAAATATAAGATTAAAGTAAGGTTTAATTAGAATTAAGCTAGATTATTTTATTATTTATCTTTTTATTTAATATACTATATAATTAAGATTAATAAGTAAAGTTTATATTAATAAGGTAAAGATATAGATATAAAGCATAATATCTTAAAGTATAAATAAGTTTAATAAATCTTAAGCTATTAATAATAAACTTACTGCTTTTACTTATACCTTAATATTTTTATAAAGTATACTAATTACTAGTAAATAAAGCCTAAAT